TTCTAAATCTTAAGTCTATTTTCCAAAGTGAAATTCCCTCCAACTTAATGTTATGTGCAAAGTTGATTAGCTACCCTTCTATCCCCTCCTCTGGTCCATTTATGAATATATCAAAGAGCCCTGGCTCAAGACAGAATCTTGAGACACCCAATTGCATCCTTCTCTCCAGGAAGATGCAGTTCCATTGAGGTCACACAGAGTGAAGTTGATCAGCCAATTTCAAATCCATAGGGTGGGAGTACTATTTTCCATTTCCATTTTCCATTTTTTAAACTTGTCTATTTTTTTCTGTTTGTTAGAGAACTCTTTATGCAACCATTCAAGTTTGCTCTGGATGCCTTTTTTCTTTCTTTGTGGTATTGCATTTGATTGGGCTTTAATAACTTTGTTTTTCAGAGTTTTTCAAGCATCTTTAATTGTTTTTCCCTTCACCCTTGTGAAGTGCATCTCTTGCCATAAGCCCTTCCTGTAAGTAATGTAAACCATGGCCTAGAAATCCAAAGTTGTCTTGATGGTACCATCTCTTGAGCCAGTGGTTTATTTATAAAAATTTGTTCCCTCATAGGGTATTGACCTACAGTTGGTACTATGGAAGAGACGATCTGTGTCCTATATTGTTTTGCTTTCCAATTAAGTTGCTCATAGTCCCTGGATAATTTTTCCAGGCTCTTGGTTCTATTGTTCATCCCAGCATGAAAGACAAGAGAGGGATAACAATCTATGGACTTGATTATTTTGGTAAGCCGCTCTGGTACATCTTTGCTCCAGGCAGACAACTCACTTCCATTACTTCCCTAGATTATTTAGTCTATAGATATATGATTCTGTTCCTCTGAGAAGTGGAAGAACCTATCACCAATACACACCTTTTTTTTTCCTTTAGAGAAGCCTAAGCTATTGGAAGGAAATCCTCCCAATGTCTGTGTGTTTTCCTTTAGGGGGTTATGAAAATTATTGTTCAGCTCCACCGGTTGTGGGACAGTCTTCCAGATTTTTTTGTTCTACAAGTGACATGCTGCCAATGGTCTTGCTCTTGGGGTTCACTTTTTCTGGTAGTTTCTTCATTGCTTTGCTCCGTCTGGATACAGATCTCTTGGAGTTCATTTGTCCTGGCAGTTTCTTTATTGCTTTGTTCAGTTTCAATACAAATATTTGCCTTTACCAGGAGTTCATAAGCACATAATTCATAATAGGTGCTTAGATGCTGAACCGTAATTCCAATACTTTGTAACCTTTGGACATAATACTGATGGGAGTCGAATCTGTTTCTATTGTAGATAACACACTCAATTTGTGCCAAGCACAGTCACTGTGCTTTGAAGGTGGGCTGTGTGGAGTGATAATGAAATCCAAAATGGGTCTGACTTAGCTTTCCCGAATTGCTCAATTAAAAAAATTAGTGGAAAGAAGAGCATCTGCTATCACTCAATTTCTGATTTAGAAAGAACTTCAGGTTAATGTGAATCTGAATGTACCAGTGTGGTATAGTGGTTTTGTTCCTGGGCTGACACCAGGGAGACTTGTTCAAACCTACCCACCGCGAGTCATGGAAACTCACTATGTGACTTTAGGTCAGTCACTGTGTCTCACCCTAACCAACTTCACAGGGTGATGGTTGTGGGAAAATACTGGAGGCAAGAGTTCCACGATTGCTATCTTGACCTCCTGCAAGTAAGGGAAGATATAACTAACAAGCAAAGCTGCTCAATTTGAAAATGTTCAGAGGGCAAGGCACTGGAATGACAGATGGAATGTAACAATTAAATCAGCCTTCCCTAAACCTACTATGGACCAGATTTATTGGGAATGCAAATTCTGAATTCTCAGCCAGCGTGACCAATAATAGCTGGGACTCCTGAGAATTGGAGTCTTTATATAGCTGGCAGGTGCCAGTTTGTGAAAATATACTAGATACATGCAATATACTAGATTCATTCATTCATTCTCAATCCAAATTAATCCACTGCAGGGGGAAAACCTTTGATTTCTTGCTAACATCATTGATATATGCCAAAAGTTGGTTCCCTTACATTGAATTATCATCTGTTTGGTGTTTTTTTCAGGAAGCTTGCTTTTTTGATAAATCCAATTAAAAACTCTTAGGGATATAGCTAAAATTGTACCATCCAGCACAAGGGGAAGGTATTAAAGGCTCAAGAAAATCGTGATTGCTACAATCTGTATACAACAGTGGTGGTATTCAAATAAAAGTTGCCACCGGTTCGGTGGGCGTGGCTTGGTGGCCACGCTTTGCGCGCATGCACACACTTTGCATGCACGCGTGTGCCAAACACGCACTTTATGCAGGCGTTCTAACTTGCCTCCTGCAAGATGGTGGTCGCTGCAGCAGCTGCCGCGCGGCGCTATTCTGAGCCGCGCAAAGCAGCTGCGCTTTGAATTCTGGCCATAAAAGTGAGTATGGGAGCCCAGGCGGGTGGGTGGGCCAACCACAGAGCAGCAAAGAAAACCAGTTCGGTCTCCACTGCTCATCGCCACTACCGGATCTCCAGAACCGGGCAGAACCAGTCGAATACCACCACTGAACTACAAAGATCAGGAAAATCTGATCACCTATACAGATAAAGGAAAAAAGGCACAGATTGTCATATGAATGCCAGATCATTTTAGTGTACTGATTGCTCTAAAAAAGAGAAGACAACAACAACAGGATATATGGTGGTGTTTTAGAACTTGCAAATCATTTTCACGTTCAAAAGAAATATATTTCTTTCTGAGAACACGAGTCAACCTTCGTGAGGGCACAGATGTCATTATAAAAGCTGGAGAGAATGACTGCGTCCAATTCTAGGCCTTTAGCATCTTTTAAATATTAAAAATTGTCAGTTGGCTTCAACTACCACAGGAAATAGAAACTAAACACCCATTCCTCTTGAAACAGAAGAGTCATGGAGGAAAGTCCCAATACCTGCACAGAACACTCAAGGGAAGGCAGAGGAGATAAAGTCCAAAGCTGAATATTTTAAGCCAATGTTGGCCTTGCATCTAGAAAATTATCTCTTTGTATTTGCACGGTCATGTCATCTCATTCTAAGTCAGCTACATTTGTTGAATAGGCTGCTCACTGATTTATCTTAAATTCTGTAAAAATTGTAAGGGTCTGCATGTTATTTCTTCCTCAAACTAGTGATCTATGCAAGCTGACCCAGAAAGTCCTGCTAATGCAAGATCAAACAGGAGTTGGGTGCTTGTTCTCCTTCACCACAGACTTCACAGAGATACAAAACTTCTGGACTAGTTCTAGCTTTTGGTTTATCTGCACAAAGAAATGTGAGGTCAAAGCGCATTACTGCCATCCCAAATTAGTCCAGGAATGATGCAACATCAGATGATTTTGTATTCCTTCTCTCTTTTCTCCTAAATAGCTTCTCTGATGTTTTTCCAACGGGGCAGGCAGGTACTGTGATACTCCAAATGTCATTGAACCATAACCAGTCCTTATGCTGTAATAAGATTCTGGATATTATAATTCTTCACTTCCGCTGATGGTGTAGGCACTAACACTATTGACGATTTACTGTAATTACTACCATCACTCGTAAGCTGTTTTTTAATAAAGTCTGAGGCATCCAATTCTATTAACGTAATTACAAGTATCAAAACAAATGTAATCAAAGGCTGTTCCAAATATGTGTTTTAGACCCATGCATCATTCATTGCTGTACCAGCATATGTGCTAAACAATATTTCTGTCAGAAAACAGAGGCAGGAAAAGATGGGTATTTCATTAAATTCTTCATACCACAAAGGGGACCAAGAGAGACATAACTAGAGGGCTACAAGTTTGAGTAAGAATTTCTCCTCAGACATAAATAGCAAGAAGCAATGAGGCACTTAATGTGTGTGTTTGTATGTGTGCAAGTACATGCATGCGTATCTTATGAGTAAGTAGGATGTTCAGAAATTTGGGGCCAGAGGCTTGACAAATCATGTACAGAATACAGAGGCAAGAAAAACTGGAGAGAAAAAGCATTATGTTAACTGCAGCACTCACCTGCATGTGAATGCCATGTCTGAGGAGATTTCTCTCAGATGTCACCGAGCTGTAATATCATCTGCATTGTTGGTTATCCGTCACACAACTTGTGACAAAATGTAGTTATAGGAAGAGGCACATCCCGTACCACCAAGATCTGGGTGAGGCTTGCTAGGTAAAGCAAGCACTCCTACACATTCTGGGGCATCTGTACCATCAGCATAAGCTCAGTCCATGGTGCGGACATCAAAATTGTACCTTGCTTTTATCCCACATGGTAAAGGGACAGCCAAGCTGCCAGAGAGAGAGAGAGAGAGAGAGAGCTTTCCATCAATTCTGGCCCCTCTGCGACTTCCGCATTCAGACAGACAGGCAGGTACTAGCCAATCAATCAGACATCATGGTAGTAGACAAGGGCCAGAAGGCAATGATGGCGATTGATGCAGCAGTGCCAAGTGACAGCAACAGGAAGAAGGAGAAGCTGAAGAAGTACCAGGGCCTGAAGGAGGAAGTACAGAGGATATGGAAAGTAAGACCAAAATGGTCCCAGTAGTGGTAGATGTACTTGTGACTCCTAAGCTGGGAGAGGGGCTCCAACAAATCCCAAGAGCAACATCAGATCTCTCTGTCCAGAAGAGTACAATGCTAGGAACAGCTAAGATAGAACTCTCAAACTCCCAGGTCTCAGGTAGCAGACTTCAGGACTGAGGAAGGTAAGTACCACCCATGGGGCTGAGAAGGGAATTTTTAAGAAACTGTAACAAAAGTCAGACCCCCACAGACAATTTACAACATGAATTATATTAAATATTTGATTTGGTTACCATTCTTTTATAAACACTTGTTTGATTCATAATATTTGAATGTTCCTAAGTATAGTAACATTTGCTCTGGAGAAAAAAAACCTGAATAAAACATACTGTGGTTGACTAATAAGGTCTGACTTTTGGTAGCCCATTATTTGAGATTTTAATACAACCAAGGAATCGGGGGGAGGAAGGTCAAGATTCTTCTGGGAAGAGATATGAAACTGTCATTGGAAGAACATTTATATAAAATTAACCAAAATATTTTTTACTGCCTTAAACCAAGTGAAATGGTTTTGTCTGATACAGAGCATCATGTCATCGAAACCTGCTAAGCTGAGCTGCATCTGTTCAACACGTCCCTCTCCCAACACACAGAATCCATGTAAAAGGCCTAGATGAAATTATTAGAGAATAAAACTTCTCAAATGAGTACTGCCAGACTGCCTCTGCCCCACATTCACACACAGAACAGGAGAGCAGGAGATGGTAGAACTAAGCAGAAGATGCCACCACCATTTCTGTATCAGGCTGCTCAAGTTGCAAAGGACTGAGGCTTTCCATAGGCACTGCCAGGAGGTATGATACACCCCCACTGTTGACATCTGAGAGAATCAACCATCAACCCTGAGATGAAGAGAAAACCTTCCCCTTGCGCTGTCTCTCTCCCGGCCCCCCTTCTTCAGGCATCCACGCAGGGTCATAACTCATCCCGGGCTGTCCTATCAAGTGAGGACTGGAGCACGTCTGAATTCCTGGCTTCATTCCTCAACTCCTGCTGCTCCTTCATTTTCTCGGACTTGGCCCGGTCCCAATCGGTTTTGACATTCTCATTGTTCCACACCACGGAGGTCTCTGTGTCGCTGACGTAACCATCATCCCCCGTATAGTGTGTTGGATAAACCAGCAGGGGCTCCACTGAGAAGGCCAGCAAATTCCGGTTGACAAAATGCTCCATGTATTCAGTCCTGTTGAATAAGGAAATGAAAGCCAGGTCAGAAAAGTGCTTTCCGTGGATTTGGGGTTGCTACAAAACACAGGAGTTAAGAAACAAGTATAGAAAACTACCAAATAAACAAGATATTTGGGGTGGCAGTGGGGCTTGGCTGGAGGGACAAAGGGGCTGACAGGAGTCACAGCCCATATTCATTTCAAATTACAAGGGCAGTACTACCTCTATCTCCTAGTTTTTGTGTAGAATTATCACATATGAATCACCTTTCTATCTAACTATATATCAAACCAGTCAGGAAGATATTTCATAAATTGAAGAGGATGAACATCGATGTGTACCGTGCAGGTTCAATTTGTCTCTCCCTATCCACAGATTCAGATAGCGCTTACTCCTCCAGGAGTTTCTCACCAACATTTAACGTACTCTACTTGGTGCCTGGAAAGTTTGGTTTGGCTTTGCTCTGAAATTACTTAGTAATTAGGAACCTATGCTCTAGAAAAATCAGGATTTTTCCAAAAGACAAACATTAGGAGGGAGAGAAAAACTTTATATTTTAAGAGCCATCCAATAAAAAGCCGTGAGCCCGTATGGTGTGCTATTTAAGGTACCAGGATAGAAATTGGGTGACCATGAGTTGTAGTCCTATCTTAGAACCAAAGTCAGCGGGTAATGTTGGGCTCTCAGCCCTGGGAAGGAGGCTATGGCACTTCTGAAATCTTGCCAAGAGAACTACAGGGATTTGATCAGGCAGTAGCCAGGAGTCAAGACACAAAATAAATGAATCGATAATTATGATATTCCACGTGTCCATTCTCAAACAGCATATTAATCAAGCCCCACCCTTGCCCCCCATCTAACCAATTCAACTTTTGGGACTATAAATTCCTTATGATAATGAGGAGAATCTGCATTTTCTAACAGGAATGGAGAGCAACATCTATCTAGGAGCTTTCTCTGATGTTTCTCAGAGTAGGCAGTGATAGTGTCAAAGTGGACCAAACCAAATCATCTGGTCTGTTTCTAAAGAGCCAAAACTGCTACTGACAATGGCTTCTATGTTGCTAAATCTCAGTATAATCCTAGGGAATTCCAGGGGGCTACACATATAGGGCAAGGAATACTGATTGCATTGCCCATCCTGTCTTACTAGATCGGGGTGTCAGCAACCCATGGCTCTTTGGGCCCTCTGTTATGGCTCCCTGTTGAGTGATGCCATCACTGGCTGGCTACGCCCGTCACCCTCCTCTCCCAGTCACTCCTCACCTGGCCTGAGAAAGTAAAACACAAAAAAACAGAAATGAGAGGGAGGGGGAGAGAGAGAGGGAGGGAGGGAGGGAGAGGGAGGGGAAGAGAGAGAGAGAGAGGGAGAGAGAGAGGAGAGACCCATTTCCCACAGAAAACACCGGGAGCCACAAAACCTGGGTAGGCATGGTGGGGGGGGTGTCATGTGACTGGGTGGGAGTGATGTTGAGTTGACCACACCCACCCAGGTTTTGAGGCTCCCGGTGTTTTCTTTTCTGTGGGAAACGGGTCCAAAGTGTTTAAGGTTGCAGGCCCCTGTGCTAGATGAAAGTCATAGGAGGATATCTTTTAGTTCAATTGTAAGTACAAAACTTGTGCAAGCGTCCATTAAGTTCCCGTTTTGTTTTGTTTTTGACAAAAAGGCAAGCCTTACACAGGGTGTTTGTTAAACATGACTGGAAGAAACTCATCCACTGGCAACATTTTGGAGAGGGGCTCAGCATCCAGCAGTTTCTTGGCCCCTTGGAGGGAGATGACATAACCCAGGGTCCAGTAGGAGTAGTCAGCTTCCACCAGATTGCGGATGTGGGGCACAGCTTTCTCTGGATGCTCTACCTGCATGCGCTTCCGTCCAATGTAGCTAGAGGGAGATAGAGAGCAAAAAACTCAGGAAGAGTAGGCATAGCATACATGAAGTTGTTGCCTTTAAAAGAATAGATGTTACCAACAACTGAAAAGTTTCTTTTAAAAATTGTCTTGTTGATAAGCACAACAATGGCTTTAGGATTTCCCAATAATGCATCAGGGAAAAGGAGCAATCTGTTTAGAACCGAAGGTGCTCTTTCAAGAGGCCTCTTGAAAAAGCACCTTTGGGACAACCATAACTTGGATGACTGAGAACCTCCATAGACATTTAGTCTATTTAGAACTTAATTGCCTTTCATTCTATTATTCAAATTATATTTCTTGTTAATAAAATTTTTATTGCTTTTCAAGGACAATACACAAACAAACAAAACATAAAAACATAAAACATCTTTTCTGAAAGTTGCTTGGTCCCAGGTTAAAACTCTTCGTACAGACACAAATTCAAAAATCATATTCATTTTAATAGAATGAAAGGGAGAAATAAAGAGAAGTTGGGATAAGATATGAAGTTAAACAAATAACGTAAATATATATATTAAATTGTGTTTGTATGGTAATGTGATAATTTGGAATTATTCTGTTTCTAAATAAGATGTTCTATTGGTTCTTTCAGAAAAGATCTTTTATGTTATTATATTCTATGCTTCGTTTGTGTATTGTTTTGTAAAAACTAATAATTTTTTTTTTAAAAAAAGAACTTAATTGCCAGCCTCTCCTTTCCCTTAAAGTAGTTATTAGGTTTGAAATTAGTATGGTTTCATTCATATTTTCATTAATATCGTTGCATTTACTTACACTTTATTGTTAATTTTTCACAATAGTTTTTAAATTGTTTTTATTGCTATTTGACTGTTGTAATGACAGTGTAATCATCATGTATGGTGCTACTCTGTAAGTAAAATGCCGAGAAAACGGGTTGTCAATAACCTAATTTTGTTACAATTCCAATTCATGTTTTGGGCTGCAGTCTACAAAGAGGCTCTAAAATTCAACTTACACAACCCCATATTAGGGTTCTTGCTGTTCCCATGTGTGACTGAAACTGCCTTCTATTATTTTATGCTTTACTTCCAAATTTCAGCTGGAGCCTTTTTAGGAAAAATGCATTGCTTTGTCCCCAGTACTGTAGATTTTACAATTTAAAGTGCCTATTTTTAATCATGCTCAAGTTCAGCCACCTGCATCCGTAGTTCACCGGTTCACTCATTCATCCCGCCAATGATATAACAGATGGGTTTGTATATTTGCACAAGCAAGGAGAAAAAGAAACAATGTTCTGTGGGGAGGCAGGGAGCCCTACGGTCAAGATTTCCTAGCCAGCAGCAACCTCAGCATGCTCTGCACTCACATTAAATCCCAGTCCAGGCCTTCTTCCTCTAAGTCAAACATGAGGTTCATCATGCGCCGTTTGAAGAAGATCTCAAAGCGTAGGTCATCCTCAAACACCGCCGACTTCTCCAGGCCTCTCTCAACAACCTGTCAAAGCAACCGAATGATGCTTAGCTCCTTTTCCTGAGGATTCAACGTATTTAACAGAAACATTATCACCTTGGCTTTCCCAGCAGGTTTAAACCATTTAACTGTTTTGTTTTGTTCTTGTTCTTATTTCCCAATTCAGTTCAATAAATGGGCTCGGCCCACCTCGTTCTGACGCAAAGGGTCTTCTGCAGACCCTGCCTGTCAAGAAATTTCAGTTCAGGAGAAGAGCTTTTTTGACTGTCGAAAGGGCCTTAAAACGAGGCTCCGCCATTGGCTTGAAGCCCTGATTGGGGGGGGGGGGGCAGCACTCAATGCTGAAAGTGATTGGTGTGGTGTAGTAACAGAGAAGATGCCATTGGCACACTATTTGTGCTCTTGGTTTTAAAATATTTATTTAACTACTAAAGTAATTGTAATTATTGTATTGTAAGCTACCCAGAAACATTTTGGGTAGTGAGAAGAGCAGCATATTAAATCAATCAATCAATCAATCAATCAATCAATCAGGGTTCTGTAATCAAGTACCCTCCAGGTAGGCAAAATTGCATTTCTCATAATCCCTACTGCTGCTAGCTAGTTACAAGGCAGCATACCAACTAATGTTATTTTATTGATTGGTTGGTTTATTGATTGATTATGCTAGCCATCTCCCCTACAAGGGGCCTCTAGGTACCGTGTTTCTCCAACAATACGGCCTCCACCAATAGGAAGGCGCAGCATGTTTTTGGGGCATAAAATCAAATTAAGCCCCTCCCCCCAAATTTAGGCCTATCTTAAAATATGCAAAATAAGGGGGAAGGACTTGCCCAGGCATGATATTCCGTTCTGGAAAAAAAATTGGGGCCGGCCAAAAGAGACCCCCCGCCTCACGCCTGGGGAGCGCCCGCTGCCTTCCCTCACCAGGGCCGGGCGGCGGCGTGTTGCACGGAGGCTGGTCTGTGGCTGGCCCAGCTCCCTTTTCCTGCCGCTCAGCGGCCTCCGCTCGCACCGCCCGGGCTCCGCTCAGGTATCCGGCTGGGGCTGTCAGGAGTTGCTACCGCCGGCGCAGCTCCACGCGGCTCCAGTCCCGCGTTGCCTCGGGAAGGGAAAGGCAAAACCAGGAGCCGCTGCTGCCGTTGCAAAGCGCCGCCGCAGCTCTTCCTTTTTGCCTTTCCCTTCCTGAGGCAACGCGGGACTGGAGCCGCGCGGAGCCGCGCCAGCAACTCCTGACTCGGGGCCTCCGAGGGGAGGGGAAGGAGGAGAAGAAGGGGTGGGGGGAAAGGAGGGGGCGATTCCCAAAAAAATCGGAATTCCGATTTTAATCGGAAGAATATCATGCCTGTTGCCGTTAGGAGCGCCCGGTGGGCAGGAATTCCTCGCCACCAGCCGCTCCTAACGGGCGATCATGGCGAAGCGCAGAGAGCTCCCTACTCCCACCTTTGCTGCAGACACCTTTGGCACCCGCCGCTGTTGCTTTCCCTTCTGCCCATTCCGCCGCCACGTTTGGAGCTGGCGCTTCCGTGTTTGGAGTGCCGCCGCCATTTGGAGCTCCAAACGCGGAAGTGGCAGCTCCAAACATGACGGCGGGCGATCTTTTTATTTTGGTCCGCGCGAAGTTCAGAGCGAGCAAGAGAAGGAGACTGCGATGCCTCCATCCGAGATGGCAACCTCACTAGTGGATCACAACGTGGCTGGAAGCCCGAATCGGCGGGATACGATGGCAATCTTTTTGGAGCGAGAGGAAAGGGAGAGAAGAGTTGCGAGGCGTAATTTGCAGGAGGAAGTGGGTGTACCCCACGGCAGGGAGCCCAAGGAAGAAGGGCCGGTAGGCAACGGAGAGCGTTCCTGTAGCTCTGGAAGCAGCCTAGAGACGCACCCGGGAAGAGGCGCAGATGCTGCCTTGTAGTCCCCAAACCAACTGCGTGCGCCGCCTTTAGTTATGTGCGCTCCGTTCTCTGGGCATCTCCGTGTGATCATGACCCTGTCCTTTCCACCTGGCGCCCTTGCTGCTTTCTGGCTCTTTAGCGACCGGCTTCGCGTTTGGAACACGTTCGCGTTTGGAGTTGGTTATTTATTATAAATAGATAAGCTGAAAAATCACACACTGGTTGAGCTGTATAGTATGGAAATTGGGGGACATTCAGAATAGGGAAGATTAGGGTACCCTCGCTCACTACATTCATGCATCTTGCAGTTAAAAACATTGGGGACTTCTATTTGTCACTGATGGAATAACTTGAGCTGGCCAATAGATGGCAGCCCAAACCAAGAGATGCGTTAAGATTCAGATCCAGTGAATTACTTCCTGAGTCTTCATGTATTCTTCTTGCTATTTTGGCAGACGGCGAGAAATCCCAACCACACGTTGGCTTTTCTGCCAAAAAGAGCCAACGCCCCAGCAGTGAGAGGACACCATCTGCAAAGGTTCTTTTCAGCACTTACAAGCCTGAGCCTGAAACAGCCCCTTCTTCTGTTAGCATCCCTGCCTCTCTGCTCACTGAATAGTCAACTTATGTAGAAGACAACTAGAACATACTAGATCAAAGATATTCGGTTGCTCAAATTAAATTCATCCATTTTAGGCTTGTCTGTGACTATAATAAATATTTCATCTGATTAAATCCATTCACTGAAATCCTGATCCTCACCGCACAACACAAAGGGCTGAATTGTGCAAATTGTTTTTGCATCATTTATTCTATATAATTTCTTTTGCTTTGCCAGGCAATGGAACGAAGCCTGGCTCTGATTCCTCAAAGTCTGGTGGAATCCTGCACAAGACTCTCATTCTAAGGTTTCTTTTTAAGTACTCAGCAAGCATTGCTATATAGTGGCAGGCTTAATCCTCAAGTCACAGACAGTTTTTTAAATAAACAATGGAGATTTTTGGGGAATTGGATATAGAGCTATCCCTAGGCCCCATAGTTCTCACTGCATGTGTGTGTGTGTGTGTCTGTTTGTAAATACACAACATACCAAATCCATCTTTTTTTTTTTTTTTTAAAGGATAATGGTTTCTGGCTTTTACTTTGCAACATAAACATTGTTTACCTCTTTCCAAATGTTATAGTGGCTGAGGAAGCAACCCAATTCTCCCTTTGTGAGTGGACGTCCGTGGTATGGGTCCTTGTAACCTGGCAACATCTTGATGCCCATGGCATCTACTTGGCTCTTATTCATTGCCCTGAATCAAAGAGAATTTTTAAAGAGAAAAGGGGTAATTGACAGGAGAGGCACAACCTGAGAACTGGATGCAAACCCAACATAGTTTAAATTTCCACCTCAGACACCTGCTGGCGAAACAAAAGTAATGCTTTGCAGGAAAGCAATTTTATCTAGATCAGCCTGGGAATTTTGGAAGGTGTCAAACTGGAGAAGTCCACATATCTCCAATTTCAGAAGGAGCAGAAGCTTCCAACTAGCATAGAATTCTTCACCCAAGTAGCTGAATCTCAGTGCAAAATTCAAGATAACACAAAAACTTGTGCACTCTTACCCTACTTGAAGATCATTTGCCAACTACCATCTGCTCATGGGCTGGAGCAACAAGCTTCTGATTCTCATAATTCAGACAAAGAGAAGACATTGCTGTTCATCAAATTGGATTTGCCCCAAACTTTTTGCTCTTGATGAACTGTGGCTCTCCAAAAGGAATCTTTGGCCCAGAGGCCATCACTGACTTAGTGCTTCGAGCAACCCCAGGAAAGCATCTTCCATGGTTAAAATGCTGAACAGAGTCGTTCAGCAACTTCCACAGGGCCACCAGTTGCTCACCTACACCACAGAAAGGAAGGGGATGGTCTTCCTATCCGCTGATTGAGGCGAAAGCCAGGAAATCAGCATAGGGTTTTCAATGTAAGAAAGCTGGGAATCTCTCTCCTTGATTTGAGCTACTAGTTCTAATTGGTGCATGCTTAAAAGTTGCCTACTCCCATACAGTGATCTAAGAAACTTCAACTGCTCTGTGATTGAACTTCGGCTCCCTGTTCTATTCTGGGGACAAAGTGGGGAAAGGCCGCTTTGTGTTCTCCAGTGAGGCTTCATGCACTCACTTCCCATCCACAGCGTCAACAATTTTGCAGTCAATCTCCTGCTCGTAGAGGGTTTTCAACATCCGTTCCCGACGATCTGTCCGACGTTTGAGGTTAATCATGAAGACCTGGGGAAAACAAAAATGACAACATGGTAAACAGAACTAAGATCAAAGAACACCCGGGCAAAACTAACCATTCAGAAATAATTAGAGCAGGGGTCTCAAACTCAATTTACCTGGGGGCCACTGGAGGCAGAGTCTGGGTGAGGCTGGGCCACATAAGGGATTCCACAAAAAACGTTGTTAAAAAAAATATCCTCAAATGTTATACTTTCATATCATGGTGGGGGCCACAGGATATCGTCCTGCGGGCCGCAATTGGCCCACAGGCCGCAAGAATGAGACCTCTGAATTAGAGGGAATCCGCAGGAATAGGCTTCCTACAACTTTCAGCAACTCTGGCTGGCACTGGTAAGGGATGCTACGAGGCCATAATCACTGAAGAGTCACAGCTTTTCTCCTTCCCAATCCAGAAATCTTCCCAATGCAGCAACTTATTTGCAAGTGTTGCTTTTATGCAGAGATCCTCCCCGTTCTAGTTCTATTGTTGTTGTTGTTTACTTAGTACAGGTAGCTCGAGTTTAGCAATCACAATTAGAACCAGCAACACTCGTTAAATAAAGCAGTTGCTAAGTGAAACCGTAGCTATGTTTATGATCTTACTTAGCTTTCCTTTGTTTTGTTTTTATTGTACCCTATGACTATTATTGTACCCTATGACAATTATTGTACCCTATGACTATCATTAAGTGTTGTACCTGATGATTCTTGACTCTTGACAAATGTATCTTTTCTTTTATGTACACTGAGAGCATTTACACCAATTCCTTTATTGGCCACACTTGGGCAATAAAGAATTCTATCTATATATTCTTTAGAGATCTTGGTTGTAAGGGCAAGGATAGATCATATTGTTCATCATTACCGTGAGCAGTTAAACAAGATGATCACTAAACCAGGAGTAACTGTACTGCATCCTAAGGATGGCAGACTTATATTGGAGGCATTTTACACAAATATTTATCAACCTGAGATCTAATTATATAAATTCCAAAATATCTGAATTGGCCAATTCTAGCAAAGAAAGATGAATCAAATCCCTACTCTGCTCTGGCAACAAAGCTCAAAAACATAAAATAGCGCACACGACATAATTTTAATATTTGGGCATGGTTTGGGGAGCTAGGGTTAATAAGCAAATTAAGTTCTACTGATTTATCTATCCTAATTATTTATTTATAATTTCTATAAATGTAGCTGAATTCTTTATTTCTTACCTCATCAAATCCCATTTTATCTGGGATTTTGGGAAGCAGAGACAAGTAACGAGAAAGTTCCACGGGACGATTCTTAACTGTAGAGAAAGTCAATATAGTGAGATGCATGGTCTCTTCCAAGGAGACATTTGTTTTTAAGGAAAAGCAGCTCCTCCCAGATTCTTGGTCCCAATTTTAGGCATAAAGTAAGAAGACCAATTAAATCCTTCTCTATGAATAGCAATGAAGCCAAACAGCCCATGAGGCAAATTCAGATGAGATTACAAAAAATGGATTTCCTATTTTTAAAAAAAGATTTTTTTAAAACTTCTTGAAGCTTGGAGACTCTACTCTGCTCAAGTTTACAGCAAGACTATAAACAGAACTTTGATGCCTACAATACAATAAATTAAATTATGTACAAATAAGCAGTGAAATTTTATAGAATGTAAAATACAAGAAACATAAAAATAATTATATTGATACATTTTTTAAAATCCTGTAATTGTGTAATATTTTTAATTAGGACTAATCAAAATGACACAAAAGAGAGTATGTACAAGTGAGTTTTAAACCAAATGTATTCCTATTTTAACTCAACTTTATGCTAGTATTTCATTTTCTCTCACATTCTGTCCAAATTTCTCAGTCAAAATATCGCCTTAATTTCCAGTGAGTCAAAATTTCTCAGTCAAAATATTGCCTTAATTCCTAACTGAGTAGAAATTTGAACGTAGGCCTCTTCAATTTAGGAAGGCTTTTAATGCGGACTAGAAGCTTTGATGGACTATAACAAAGCTTACTTTTTCATATGAAGATATACATCACCAAAAAGGCTTCAATCTCCTTTCTTAAAGAGGGAAACCTCAAACCGGATAGAGAATTTGTCCTCAAAGGTCATTCATTATCCAATAATTTTGCACAAAATGCTTTCCTCAGACTGGAGGTTCTCCCATTTCCAAACATGCTCCTTTAGCACAGACTTTACATCACACAATTTTCTCTTCCTCATCTTCCTTGATTCAAACTGTTAGCACCCACTATGGTTCCCTCCCCCATATCTCCCTGTTCAGTCCCTCCCTACCATGTGAAGTTATAGTTTTATTGACACCTGCATGAATAAAAATCTATCCAATAATAAAACTGAACACCATCCCTTTGTGGAGATGTATGGACAAAACAATCAAGATGCCTTAAGAAAATCGATTCTTTTCAAATAAAAGGATTTGAATATATGCTATTCATTCACTGCATGCTAAATTATTCCACCTAAAATTAATACAGGCAGTCCCCCACTTATATCTGGTCACCTAGTGAACATTAGAAGTTACAACAGACCTTCCCAGGATTATTTATGACCTGGATTCAAAATTCCATTGGCTACCCTTCCCGGGATCCCATGATCACATTTTGGACACCTGGTAACTGGCCTGCATTGATGGCCATTTGCCGTGTCCTGCAGTCATAAGACTGGTATTTATTTACCAGTTTTTGCCAGAAACTGGCGTTTATTTCTGGTTTCTGGAAAACACACCTATTATGGAGAATGGATTTGCTTAATGACCCCAGCATTTACTTTACGCCCATTACATTCGCTTAATGATCGCCACCCAAAAAAAAGGTCGTAAAATTGGTTCGGTCTCATGATGATCCATTTAATGTCCAGAATGACTTCCCCTCTAATTTCAGACTCAATCATGGTTATAAAATCAAGAACTATCTATATTGCAGTTTATTTATAAGCACAATAATAAAATAAGCCCCTACAGATTTACATACAGAGACACTGGAACATTAAAAGCAACCTCCACTGATTGTACAACGAAGTCTATTAAACTACAGAAATGCTTGAAATAAACAAATAGGGGACTGTCCATTTATTATCTTTGTTTTCCTTGTCTTTGAAAAAAATCCCAACATCCCAGGGCTTAATTTTTTTCTCCCTGATGACCTTCCAGGTTTCACGTGCAGAAAGGCTTTGAAAGCTTCTGTGCAGCCTCACTAAGCATATCTTAGAAAACATCCTTTGAAGAGACTCCCTATCTACTGAGCGTCTCACTCAATAGGGTGACCTGTTGTGTTTAGACTTTGTGAATTCAATATAAACAGACAAAGGTGGGGGGAGGGCGATATTTGGCATACTGAAGTACCCTTTCAGTTCACAAAACAAACAAGTCATAAATGAAAGGTGATTGTCCTTTGAGCTAGCTCTTCTTCCACATTGACTTATATTTTCTCAAGTGGTGGCAAATTCCTCTTTAAGGGCAGTTGAATTTTACAAAAGGATCGTTGTGGAGCCAGGGACATACAAAGAATGACTGTGAGACATCCCCACAAGGAGAATTCAACCAACTCCTTCAGACAGCCAAGATGGTGGGTTGCCTCAGAGGCCTCCCTGGCAACAGAGGACATTCCTAGGATAGATCCAAGACTGTCCAATGGCTGCCATGTTCCCTGGCCTGTAGATCTGCCAACTGGAGGTGGAGGAGGGACGGAATTGGCCCTTTACAGAAAAAGTTTGCCAAGCCCTTATCTAACCCATTGCATCATTCCACTGATAAGCAGGAGTAGAATTGTACAAAACAGGAAAAATGAAAATCTTATCAGCCATATAAGCACAAATAAACAACTCAGCTTTAATAACAACAAACCCGAACTACACCGATGCCAGATTCTTATTCCCTGATCTCAGCCCCGTGGCATTTTCTAGAACAGAGGTGGGGAACTATGGCCCCTTTATGACTTGTGGTCCATACTGGCTCAAGAATTCTGGGAGTTGAAGTCCACAAGTCATAAAAGGGTCATTGTTCCCTAGCCCTAGTTCTAGAAGAACCCAGTGGTGATATCACAGTAGGGCGGGCTGGCTATCTTGCTCTTCTCCAGATGAAAGCTTCCTAACTAACTTTGTGTTGTGGAAAGGTGATGCGTTATCAAGCATCTGATTTCCTGAACTGCAATTTTCCCCATTGGCTAAATTACTATTATACAGCACACTCACCCATGACCTCCAGCTGCACATGCATGAAGCTCTCAATTTCGTCACGCAGGGTGCCGTGAGATCGTAGAGGCACTGGGAGAAAGCCATATTCTTCTTTGTTGCACACGTACATCTGAACTTCTGAACAAATTGGGAAGGGTGGAAGAGTGAATGCACAAAAACAGATGACATGAGGCAATACAAAATCCCTATGTCCTTTCCCTTGGCAGGACTGATCAACATCAGGCTTCACCTCTATTTAATAAACTCAGGCAAATGATTTAAAATTATTCCCGCCACACACACATAAACACAAAAACCCTCACTCGGATTTAGGTGGGTAGCCATTTAAACCCAAACACAGAAGCTACCATATTTTCCCGAAAATAAGACCGGGTTTTATATTAATTTTTGCTCCAAAAGATGCATTAGGGCTTATTTTCAGGTTAGGTCTTATTTTCGGGGAAATACAATAGTTGATTAGAGAATTGAAACTCTGAAGGCTGGTATCATGGCCCTGGTGGAGACTGACTGAGGAAGAGCCAACAAGGAGTGGAAGTGTGGCTCCAGAGGTGGTGGAGGAGGCTGGGGAAGGGCAGAGGCTGGCTGAGCAGTTAGAGGAGGACCCAGGCCCATCCCCTCTCCATCCTAAGGCACGCAGGGAGGAGAGGATCAGGGTAAAACGTGGTCTACTTGGGAGAAGAGGGCCATCATCCTCTTCATGGTTTGCAGGTGTGAGGTCTGCACAAGAGTTTGGACCTGCTGTGCTAACAGACACTGGAGACAATTAGTGTTTTATTTCTAAAGAAGGTTTATCTTGGTTGGCGTTCTTTCAACGGACTGTCCCTGGTTATCTCCCTGAAGTTGGCAATTGTCTATCCTGGTCTGTCGAGGAACTTTATTCAATGCGGTTTGTTTTGGGTTTTTGCTTCGTTATCGGCTCTTTGAATGTGAACTGTGTTTCTTGCCTTTGAAATGTTATTCTGACTCCTCCACTGTGAACAATTAAACAATGAAGCCAAGTTGAAGGCATTAAAGTACTTTTAGTTACGTTTTGAATTTTGTTATATTTCTGAGATACTCTGGGTCATCACAGCTGGACATAAGGCCCCACTTTGCAGGAGGTCATCATGCAAGAGCACTAAGGGAAGAAAACCAGCTTGAAAACCTGTTTGTTTGGGGACCTTTAGCGTGGTGTAGAGAGAACCCCACTGGCACCAAGGTGTGAAGATTATATAGTCTTTAAGATTTTTTTAAAAATTGCATTTGCAGATTCCCAATCAGCTTGGATTGATAGATATTTTTTAGAGGCTGTCCTAAGCTGAACTGAGTCAGGCAGCAGATTTAAGTTTAACCATGCTGTTCTTAACTAACCATTCTTTACCCTTCTTCTTGTCACTCACATACTATTACTATCCAGCTAAAGGCAAAAGGGTAACTGAGAAAAACAAAAGTGCGTTTGGTGACTGCACTTCCTTTCTCTTACAGCAGGGGTGTCAAACTCAAGGCCTGGGAGACAGAGACGGCCTACGGGGTGCTTAGATCTGGCCCGCAGGGCCATCCTGGAAATAGCAAAGGACTGGCCCGCAGTGCCTCTGCAATGAAAATGGAGCTCATGAGGGCCGTTTGCCCCCCTCCTGCTCCATTTTCGCTGGCGGAGGGTTGAAGGAGGCTGTCCCAGCCAAAAACGGAGCTCAGGAGCCTGTTTTTATTGGCAGAGCGATCGGGCCATCACAGGCTTCCCCCCCCCCCGACACAAGTGACATCATGCTGGTCATGCCTACCCTGGCCACGCCTCCCACCAAGGTCAAACACAATCCTGATGCGGCCCTCAATGAAACTGAATTTGACACCCTTGTCTTAGAAGGAGATCTGCAAGGTTTTAGATTCCAAAGCAAGACAAATTAAAGCCATCGCTTGCCAGAATCCTACTGTTTACAAGTGGGAGAGAATAACCCAAAACTGCTGAACCATCTCTCCTATGACAGCCTTCCCCAAGCTGAAGGAGGTTGAGAGTTCTAAAAGCACCCCCAAGAGAATCGGGGAAGACTGACCAGTTGGAAATGGAACAGGATTGAGGCTGAGAAGCCAACTCAGCTTGGGATAGGCTGACAATCACACGCAAAAATCTCTGTAAGGCAGCCCTCCCAAATCATTGTTTGTTGTCCTAACAAACAATGTCTCTGGCTTAGTTCCTGAAAAAGGGGAGACGCTTGTTCAGTAGATTGACCAACAGGGACAATGATGTCCTCTTGACCAAGGAAAGGCAGCATTTTGCTCACCTGCCTCTCTGCAGGCAAAGGCAAAGACAATGATATCATCAAAAGCCCAGGTGTAATCTGGGTGGGGAGGGTAGAAAACGAGGTTTTGCGAGGCCTCTTTCTGTAGGTTGATGAGGAAGGTAGAGTGCACCATGGGTACAGCAAAGCAACCACGGCGATCCCGCTTCCGGATGGGGATGTAAGCAGGGGTGCGCTTATAATAGCCCTAAGAGAAGAAGGAGAATTCCAGGTGAGCTTTGCTGCAAAGAGACACATATGGGGACCCTAGCCTAGGACAACTAAACAACTCTTGTAACAGCGGCAACTGGGAACGAAATGCAAAGCCTCGTCATAAATGTAAATAAATAATATTTTAACACTATAGTCTTAAGAATACGTAATCTAGCACATCTGCCAGCAGAGGCAGAATCAACAGGCCAAGTGAGGCTAGGGCAGAGGTCCCCAAACTTGGCAACTTTAAGACTTGTGGACTTCAACTCCCAGAACCCCTGAGCTAGGGGATGACAATCCTCAAAGACCATCTGGTTAACTATCATTTCTAAGCATCTCACAACCCAGGGCTGTATCAGGAAAAGGAGAATCTGCTGTGATTCCTGATTTCATTCTGGAATGGCCTACTGACCTTGAGGCATCACTGAGGTTTATGTGAGCAAGGATGGTGGGGTTTATCTGGTACCAATTATCTGCAATTTACTTTGCAATGAGGCACCACAATCAATCCTGCAAGGACCCCTAGTATGAGAAATTGCCCTTGTTTAGTGGTTTTACATGCTTGTAGCTGACATGGAGAGTTCAGAACAGGTTAGGGCTATTAGGGCCTGTTGCCAATTCTGCTTCCTAACATGCTCCCTGTTAGATGGGCTGTTATTCTCTTGAGTAGCAGTGGAGTTCTTAGGACAAGTGTTGTCAACTAAAAAGATACTCCTTTGGTCTATTTAACTGCCCAAAAAAGGGAGTGGGGGAAAACAAGGCATTCTTGAAATGCCTAGATAATCAACTCAGCAGCCCAAAGTTGTCAGAGCATAAGAAGGTTATTGGAGAGCATGATGGATGACTCTTGGAGATGGATGTGTCCCATTAGAGAAATCACATCCAGGGGGTGGGGGGAAGAGCAGGGTCAAGGGGGAAATGTATGGTGTAATTTAATACAGGCTGCACCCAGCCATGCACCAACATGGCAATTTCTAATAAATCAATTTACTTTTTCTGAGATGCGGCTAGAGACTTTTGCTTTGAATGAGGGGGATTTGTTGGAGCCCTGATAAGAGTCTTCAAACTTGGCAAGTTTAAGACTTGTGTACTTCAACTCCCAGAATTCCTGAGCTAACATGACTGGAGGAGGAATTCTGGGAGTTGAAGTCCACAATCTTAAAGTTATCAAGTTTGAAGACCCCTGCCTTAAGACTTACTGGAACTGGTGGAGTCGGACATTCGTGGATGGTAGATCTATCAAGGAGAATTAATCTTGAAAATTCACTGTTATCTCCAGACTGGGGGCAGCATGCATTCATACACCATGTGCGGGGGAACTGCAGCAAAATAATGCTGTGACTCCATGTCTGGCTTGGAATAGCTCAGAGGTATTTGACTAGCCACTAGGAGAAACAAAATACTGGATCAAGAGGACCCAGCAAAACTTCTCTTGTGTTTCTATCCAAGGGTCATCCTGAGGAATCCCTGGTGGTCATGGAAGCCACAGGTGATCCCAAATGGGTAACTGGAGGCAAACTCTAATCAGTGGACATTGGCTTGACCTTGTATTTTGTTGGAAAAAAGGAGAACTCAATCTGGTCGAGGTGGGAGCAGAAGGACTCCTCCTGCCATGACCAGGGCCTGATTAGGTCTACACTGCCATCATTGGCTGTGGCCTCAGCTGCCAGGGAAAAAGGCCTAGAATTCGGTCACAGCTTCTGAATCTGCATACCTGTGAAGTCATCCCACACCAGAAGTTTGAATAGGCTGCTCGTGAGTCCAGCATTGGTGCCACAATAGTCTTGTTCTCGGCTATCAAAAGGCCCAGAGTGTCGGGGTTTGTTAATAGATTGTCTGCATCCACAAACTGCATAATGGAGCATTAAAAAAGAAAGCAAAGTGAATTCTACATCAGCCATTCCTACTGACGATTACGAGTTTCTGTAACGACTGGTCAGTATGCAATCTTAACGGATCAAACACAGATCAAGTGAGTGATTAAGATATTGGTCTAAGAGCAGAGAGATCCAGGTGAAGTCCATCCTTTGTCACCATGTGTTAAAACACATGCCGAACTGGTCTTGAACCATAATAAAGATACTACTGCTATTACTACTACTGTTAAATTCCTGTGGACTAGTCTCAGACCAAGCTACCTGATGCATAGGCATTAACCGGTATGGAAAGAAAAGGGTTACAAATGCACAGAAGAATCTCTCTCTTCAAATGTGGAGTAACAGAAATACATGATTATGTTGCAGTTCAATTGTAGGGGGATACCCTGCACAGCCTGTTCATAAATCTCAGACAATGAAAAATCATTCAAGGATGATGCGATGTAACCAGAGCCCTGGGCCTGCTTCCAGAAGCTCAGTGGCAATGTGCACAATGGGAGTTCTGTCCAAATAAACCTGCCAGTGTGAATTCTACACAAAAAGAACCTCAAAGAAACCTGCCAGCTGATCCAGATACAATTACTGTAGGTACTACTGCTTTTCATGCATTGGCAGAGAAAACATACTCTGTATTTAGCCTCAGTGAGAAAGATCCATGTATACAAGTTATCCACTGCCAACAATTCTGGGCTGGAGACCAAGTCTTCATTCCAGAACGGAAGTATCAGTCATGACCAGCCAAGAAGCAGGCCCCATCAAGGCCAGCTGTTCTACTGGCTCCCCCCTATACCCTGAAATTTCAGGGCAGCTGCTCTTGTTGGGAAAGACAACACAGAAAAGGAATGGGAGGCGGGAGGAGTGGGGCGGGGAGAACACACAATGGACGAGCTGAGGAACTTCAATTGCATTCACAGACCATGAAGTGTCAGACCCAGCCAGCTTCAGAAGATAATATTCAAACCAAAGGAAAAACAATCAGCCTTCAGCCCTGAGTGATATTAAATTCTGTATGTTGTGAAAGTTAATACCGCGCAGTACAATGCACTTGTCATATTCTACATCTGATAAGTTTCCTTTTGGATGGATTTGATGGTATTTCGGAAAGCATCAAATGGGCAAAAGGAATGAAGTTGTAAAAAGCACTATGAACACACTATGACTAATGAACATGAAAAACAGATAACAGTTTTTTAATTTCATTCCTGTCTTCTACCCTCAAGCATTTTCTAACTCCTTCACTCACTTTTTTTTCCTGCATGGCAAAAAACAAAACAAAACAAAGAACATCCTGGTGATACTTGAGCAACTCACCTGGATGAATTTGGCTTTCCGGCCAGTTAAAGAAAACAGGTAAAATATAATACAAAATAGAAGACTGGTTTCAAAAATATCCACTGCGTTCCAAGCAAATATATGTAGTCCTCTCCAGAGCCAAGATCTAGAATTGGTTAGGAAAACTAGTGTCCTTCGACTATTTTGGATGATAATTCTTATAGTCCCCTACCCTATTTGCAACTACTAAGAGCTAATAGCTAAGTCCAAAATAACTACTAAGAGCTAAGTCCAAAATAACTGCAGGCTACCAGTTCCTTCCCACCAACTTAACCAGAAATACACGATGCAATCGACTGAGTACCCAACTCCTAACAAATCTCTTTCTCAGTTGCCATATCTTCTGTTCTTTAACTAGGGTCACATAAAAGGGGCTCCTATTTAAACTGGAAGCAAAGAAGTATGTGAATGCATATGTGCAACACACACACACATACAGTCGTATTGCTGAGAATTGCAAATTGGCAAGCATCATCATGGGAAGCCGACCTAGGAGGGACTTGACAAAATCTTTGCCTCTGACAAAGTCCACGTGCAAAAAGCAACAAAATGCACCCTTGCGCCAGAAATATTATTTGAACCTTACACAAAATGAAACAGCTACACCCCACCTCTCCCCCCAGATCAGAATCAAGGGCTGGGTTTACACGCTGAGCCCAAATTAGGATTCTTTGGGGCTCAGTGAGTTATGCCAGCCCAATCTTATTGACCTGATGCATATTTACTTAGAGCTTAATATTTGACAAACAGTGGGCAGAATCTAAGCAGATAACGTAACGGAGTGAACTGGTAAAGTTTATGCATTTCTTAAAAAATAAATTTTATTAATTTTACAATTAAAAACAGATCTACAATACATACACAAAAAAACAAGGCCTTGACAAGGCCAAGAAAAGAAAGAAAGAGAGAGATGTAAAAAGGAAGAAAAAGGGAAGAAAAAAGAAAGAGAAATGAAAAAGAAGCATTTAAAAAAACAATATCCTTTTTGACAGTCTGTAAGATCTATTCTTCTTAAGTTGTAACATATACGCATATCTTATCGGTATCTATACTTAAATTACCCTCAACTAAGTTTCTCTTATAAACAGTCTATCTTTGAATTAACCAGCTATACCAGGGGTTCCAATTATTGTAATATATTGAGGACTCTTTGTTTTTTAAGGCTAGAGTTAATTAGAAATTAACTCTATGCGTTATTTTAAAAGTGGGGAGGTCCCAGTGCCAGATAGGGACAGTCTGGAGCCTCTCAGCAATCACCTAGCTGAGCAGAGGCTCAAATACAGGATTATAGAAACCCCAAAACTACAACACAATTTATGCTAATGATCCCAGAAAGACAATAATCCAAGCAATGCACTCAGTCCTCCCACTAAGCTTCCTTTCTGAACTTTCCTTACCAGGATGTAGTCAGCCCAAATGTCTCGGGCAGACTGCAAAGCTGCTTGCCGGAGCTTCATGACATAGTCATAGCGTGAATTGGACCAGTCCTTGGGGCCTTCTTCATCTGAGTAGAACCTGCAAGGAACAATGAAGTTTGGGCCTTTATAAAAAAATAATTATCTACCCCAGGACACATGTGCAAGGTAGGATTCATAACCAGTAATACGTTCTGATGTGTTTCTAGGCAGAGTTCACCCTCTGACTCATATGTTAAACTGGGGCTATTTCTCATTCAATATTGTTCCTAGTTTTTGTGTGAAAAATCACAGAAATTAACCTCTGTTCAGAATTATTCCAATTCACAAAGTGCACAGAAGAAGCCAGAAGAAAAAAAAATCCCAAAACCAATATTTGAAAAGGAGTTATTGGGCTTCAAAATCCCTCAACTGGAATATCCCAAAGTTTGATTTCAGTCTTAAACAATTTGCAGTACCAAATGAACAATAGCTTATTCCAGTCTTCCAGGACATGTACACTCCCCGTTTGCTGAATTCAACACTGCCTTTTCTCTAACGCTATATAATTACTGATTCATTTGGAGTTTTTTCTCCTTCTTCCTTTTCCAAGCTTCTATTTTTCTTTTGTTCCTCCTGGGTCTTTTACTTACAGAAATTCTTCAGTAAACCTTTTCTACCTCATATAGTTTAATGGCCGTGATGTTCTGAATGATACAATTGTAATCTAATAAATTTGGAAGGCATTGGATTCAGGGAGGTTGGTGGAAACTTTTATCTCTTTTTTTTAAAAAGACCACCACAACAAAACAAGCACAAAAAACTGTATCAGAGAAACAAAACCAGTAACAATAAAGCTAAATTCATCAGAGGAAACTACAGCTAGTTCTTGACTAACTATCACAGTTGGGATCAAATTTCTGCTCCTAAGTCATTAGGGTCATAAGCCAAGGCATTCACATGACTTAGACCCAGTTGTTTTGTGGTGGTTGCTAAGTGAATCACTGCAGTCACAAGTAAATCCATGGTCATTAAGTGAATGTGATCATGTGACCCCCAATTGGTATGGAGGTTTTCTGCCAGAAACTGGCAAAAAAAGGGCTAAAAACTGGCAAGATACATTGCAAACTATGATCTCATAACCACAGGTCATTGCAACAATTGTAAAGTTGAGCCAACTGCCAAGCATCCTAATGAAGTCATGTGATTGCAGGGGGTGTATGTGGGGGGGACGGGGACATTTTACACCCCACAGCTCATAAAGCCAGTAAAGCATTCTTCTGGATCAGAGGTCCCCGAACCTGGCAACTTTAAGACTTGTGGGCTTCAACTCCCAGCTTTGCTGGCTGAGGAATTCTGAGAGTTGAAGCCCACAAGTCTTAAAGTTGCCAAGTTTGGAGACCTCTGTTCTGGATCATTGTAATCTCCAACAGTCATTAAGTGACTGGTTGTAAGTCAAGGACTACCTGTAACTCCAAAGGACCACCTAAATAAAAGATTCAAGAGCCAGTCGCAGATTAAGTAGAACAGAGGCCTCAAGAAACCACATGGGAGATTATTCTATCTATTTAAAAGTCCCTTCTTACTACCCAAATCTCATTTGGCAGATGAAAGGGCATCGAGGAAGCGGAATTCCTGCAAGTGAAGCAGTTGATGAATATGGATGCACATGGAAGATGTACATTTAATTTTATAAAACTTTTGTGTATTTTTTAAGTTATGCTTTTAGCTCTTACGGCTGTCTATTCACTTTAAAAAAAAACTAGTAACAACATCTGCTGAAATCTGAGAAATTAAAAGAATAATTTAAGGACAATTTGGAATGGCAAATTTGACAGTTAAAATACATTAAGCAAAAGAAAACAAATTCCAGGTATGTGTACAAAAAGAAATGGCCAGGATACATACAAGTCACTTAATGTTATCTTTACAATGGCTTTTTGTGGTGAATTACTTGGCATTCGAATTTATGTATGCACTTCAGTGCAAAGAGCCTTTCTCAAATAGTCCCATGGGATTTGCCCACTCTCTTCAGTTCATTCATAGCCACAGCACAATGGTTTTTGGAAGGGCAGGGCTACCAGCAATCTCTGGTTTATAATCTTGTATTCCTTGTCCACAGGTTCCCTCAGTACTACTACTAATAATAAATAATAATAATAATAAAGCTACTAATCCCAGTCGGACTGATTTAAGCAATGTTGCCATTTCTCTTTTTTCAGGTTATCCGATTCCAACGAGGCTATCGAAACTCTAAACGCACTGGCAGTTATTTCAGTTTCTCCTTCAGAACTGGTTCCATTTTGAACTCCGCCTTCCATTTCCTTTCTGCCTTCCTTGCCTGCTTAAGAGGTCAGCTCCTGTGCCCTCCACCCCCCAAGCTCACCTGGGATGATCCATGGGCCGCCACTCCACTGAGTGATACATGCTCTGAACGTTCATGAGCCATTCCCGAAGCACTGCAGTTGTGTTGTCTACGTTGTGATCCGTTGCCACCCTAAGGAAAGAGGTTTTGGAAGAGGAAATGCCATCCTGCACCGAACAGTTTTGCAACTTAGATCAACTGTCAAGGAGAAGCCTTTATTTATTCTCTCTCTCCCCCACACAATCTCCATGAGGGTCAGAGTTAATATCTGGTTTCTGTTATGCATCGGATGTAGTTTGGAGGGCATGCCGAACACTTCAGCTTTGAAAAAGAGAATGTGCTTTGGGAATACGGGCGGGAGCGCCTGTAGCATCCGTTGGCAACGCTTCTCTGAGATCATGTAGCATCTGCAAAGGTCAGCCATGCAGTCCCAAGAAAAGATGTACAGAGTCCTCGACTTACAACCACAGTGAAGCCCAAAATTTATGCTGCTAAGTGAAACATTTGTCAAGTGAGTTTTTGCCCCGCTTTATGACTTTTCTTGCTACAGTTAAGTGAATCGCCGCAATTAAGTTAGCAAGACCGTTGTTAAGTGAATCTGCCTTCCCCAGTGACTTTGCTTGTTAGAAAGTCGCAAAAGGTGATCACAAGACCCCCTGTTCTGACCCAAACCCTTTTCCAAGAAAACAAACAATAATCAAAGAGAACAGAAACCTTTTAATGAGTTTTACGAATCCCGGTTAAAAGGCTGCTGCAAACGAATTAACTTTGATAAGCACAAATCTCGGCAAAACTGTGAGACACTGCCAAGAATCACAGATAAGAAATATTTCACAACACAAGAGTCTTCAAATTACCAACTTCAGCTACTGTAATATCCATGAGGCTGAGTTTCAAAACGTCTTTGCTTCCTGCAAAGAACATTCACTTCACAGCTGGCTTTTATCTTCTTGAAGGAGGGGCCATTACCTTGCAGCCTTACTCCCTAGTCCCCTGTGCTGCTGCAGCTGCTCTTTTCTGCGAGGAGCCCTGCGCGCATACGCACTTGGCACAGGCTCCTTGGGAACCTCCTCATCGCTGCTGCCAGCCCCCACAATCTCTGAAGGACTCCCTAATGGTCCTGGCCCCTCATCTAAGTAGTCACTCTCCTCAGCCATCTGCACCTGCTGCCGGCTAACCACAACACCCCCCCTGGACACTGCAACCGTCATAAATATGAGCAAGGCATCCCAATTTTGATCACATGATCAAAGGGATGCTGCAACGGTCATTAAGTCTGAAAAATGGTCAGAAGATACTTTTTTCAGTGATGATGTTAACTTTGAATGGTCACTAAATGAACTGTTGTAAATCGAGGCTACCTGTACAGGAAATACAGACAGCCATGGTCTGATCAGAAAGATAGGAGATATGATAAGGGCAGGAATGAGGTTCATGCTACTCTTTAAAGCTACTCCTGGAGACTAGATGAGTCTCTTTAGGGAACTAGGCCTTTCTTGCAGGCTTATTTTTAAGCCTTTCAAATCAGCCACCACCCCATGGCTGAACAAACTTTGAAGAAAATGCATTTCTATCTATCTTTACTGTCACACCTTAGACACGCGGGGTCCTTGGTGCTCTCTGAGCTTCCTTCTTTTCTGGCAGACGTTTCATCACCCAAACTACGTAAACATCATCAGTGGTAGCTCATCAACCCTGAGCTACAAACATTCTCCTTTATTAGTACCAGACAAGGAATAATGGATGGAAACTGATCAAGGAGAGATTCAACCTAGAAATAAGGGGACATTTTTCTGACAGTGAGAGCAATCAACCAATTTCAGAAGTTGTGGGAGATTTATCACGGGAAGCTTTCAAGAACAGACTGGACTGCCATCTGTCAGAAATGATATAGGGTCTCCTGCTTGGAGGGGGGGTTGGACTAGATCAGCGGCCGCCAACCGGTGGGCTGCAGCCCACTGGTGGGCCCTGAGAAAATTGTGGTAGGCCGCAGAGAAATCTCACTCCCAGAGCACCCCCCCAAAGCAATTAATCCAGGCTGTGCAGAAACACAAGGCTGTGCAGCCCACATGGCCCACGGGAACCCTCCCCGCCCACTCACTCCTTACCCGGCAAACTTGCCTGCTAAATTGCTATTTTCCCTTTTTCCAATCATCATCTGTTCTGCTGTGCCTGGAGATTTAGATTAGCTAGGAAGCAGGAAATGGTTGGATTTCTTGCTTTCTAGCTAGTCTTTAGATCTTTGGCTCTGCTTTTAAGCACAGCCGAACCTCCTTTAGGACTGAAGGTTCTATTATTCAGTGCAGAGGCAAGCAAATTTGAGAGACTGAGCTAGCCGATGGCAGATAGATCACTGAATGATTCTGTGAGCAACTCAATCTGCCCTGCTTTGCCTGGTTTTGGGTAAAAGTTGCTTTTTTAATAAAAAAATTCAATATTTACATACATGGTGTGTTGTGAGTTACTTTGCAAGCAAATTTTATGTGACAGACTGAGCTAGCCAATGGCAGATAGATAGATCTCTGAATGAATCTGTGATTCTGTGAGCAACTCAATCTGCCTGCTTTGCCTGATCTTGGGTAAAAGTTGATCCTTTATAAAAAATTCAATATTTATATAAATATTTATAATATTTACATACAAGCCATGCTCAGCCAGTCACATGACCAACAAGCCACACCCACAAATTGGGCCACGCCCACAGAATCCGTTAGTGGTCCCTGAGATTTAAAATTATGAGTTTGGTGGTCCTTGAGGTCCAAAAGGTTGGAGAACCCTGGACTAGATGATCTACAAGATCCCTTCCAACTCTGTTATTCTGTTATACCTTGGACATGCCTTCCTGAGAGAGGCCGGCTTCAAAAAGGCAACTCTAGAGGATCTACTGATGTCAAACTAGTGCTAGGATCTTGCCAGCCAGCAAATCTTTCTGGCCCCCAAGTGGATCGCCGCGATCCAAGGGAAGAGAGAGAGCTGAAAAGGCTACACGTGAAAGGTAACGTCATCGGCAACCTCGGGAAAATTCCAGGCTCGGGTGGAAGCCGCCATCCCCACCCACCCGCCTCCTTCTTCCCCCACCAAAGTGCAGCCTTCTGGCGCCGAGGCATTGGGCGAGCGGCGAGCGCAGGGTCTGCCCGCCAGCCACTCACCAGAGCGCGATGCGGTCCTTGGGATAGCTGAGCCTCTCCAGGCAGCCCAGCGTCGCCGGCAGCGAGTGAGCCGCGTTGCGGGCGAGCAGGGCCAGCAGCACCCGCGGAGGCCGCATCGGGGATTCGGGCACCCAGCGCTCCTCCGGGAAGTAAGCGCCAGACCGGCGGGCGCTCCATGTCGCCAGCGCCAGGAGACAGAAGCAGAGCCACCTGGGCTTCATAGCCGCCGCCGCCGCTTCCTCGCCTACCCTCTCGACAGGAAACACGACCTTAAAGGGGCAGAAGAGAAACTCCTCCCAATCCTGCCCTCCGACAGAAACGTGGAAGGAAAGGAAAGGCTTTGCAGAGGGCGGTGGGCAGTTCCTTTGAGGAGGAGTTTTGTTCGCCCCGAAGCGGTTCTCCAGCTTTCTCCTCTCTTCTTTGGCTCCTTTCCTCAAAGTCAACCGGGCAAACTTTTTTTGAGGCTTTTTTGGCTGCAAAAGCCACGCTGGCGGGAAGGAAGGAAGTCTCAAGACTAATTTGCCCTTGTTGGACCTGCCTTGTATGAGTTTTAAAAGAGGTCCCCTTTAAAACCACTCAAGTTAGTGGCTTTCAGCATGTCTTGGTCTTGTGAATTCCATTTTTCAGTCACGTGTTATGTGAAGTTCTTCAGTTCAAAATCTCCTTTCAATCAGCTTCTACTGGATGGCTGTGACCTTAGTGTTTAGAGAGATGGAAAGAAATTTAAATTTTCTTACTGTCCACATTTTTTCTCTCCATGTCGTACAAAGTTTTGCACACTTGGCAATGTTTTTCCCACAGTCACTTGTTTTCTGAGCTTGAGTGTTCCAAATGTTCAAACTTCTTCTCATAAAGAAAGTTCATGAGCCCCTGATTTTGCCTCCATGATGAATCCTGACATTGTGTTCAAAACAGGCCTCTAGAGCAGGGGTGGGCAAACTTTTTGGCTCGGGGGCCGCATTGACTTTTAAAATTTGACAGACGGGCCGGGTCAGCACAAGATTTTTTGGGAATCGCCCCACCCACCCTTCCCCCCCTCTTCTCCTCCTTCCCCTCCCCTCGGAGGCCCCCTGAGTCAGGAGTTGCTACCGCCGGCGCGGCTCCGCGCGGCTCCAGTCCCGCGTTGCCTCGGGAAGGGAAAGGCAAAAAGGAAGAGCCGCGGCGGTGCTTTGCAATGGGAGCAGCGGCACCGGAGGCTCAGGCTCAGCGGCTCCTGGTTTTGCCTTTTCCTTCCCAAGGCAACGCGGGACTGGAGCCGCACGGAGCTGCGCCGGCGGTAGCAACTCCTGACAGCCCCAGCCGGACACCTGAGCGGAGCCCGGGCGAAACTGCCTGTTGCTGCTGCCGGAGCACCGCCGGGTCACCTCCTCCAAGCAGCCTGCCCACCCACCAGGCTTCCCCTCTGCCGCGTAACTCAGGGCCAGGCGCGAGCGCCCGCAAGTTAAAAGGAAGCCGAAAGTTGCTGGGAAGTAGCTCGGGTGCTGGGAACAGGCTTTTAAAGTGCTGCCCGAGCAAAGTTTAAGCAGCCCGCCCGCCCGCCGGGCGGAATCCTTCCTGCTCCTCGGCGGGAAGACGCTCCAGCCTGCAAACTTTGCCTTTGCAAAGTTTAAGCCTGGAAGCCCCTGAAACCCAAGCAACTTCCCAGCAACTTTCGGCTTCCTTTTAACTCGCAGGCGCTCGTGCCTGACGGAGGGGAAGCCCGGAGCCTCCTCCAAGCAGTCCGCCCACCCGCCCACCGAGCTTCCCCTCCGCCGCACGGCTTGGGGCCAGGCGCGAGCGCCCGCGAGTTAAAAGGAAGCCGAAAGTTGCTGGGAAGTTGCTTGGGTTTCCGGGGCTTCCAGGGCTTTGCAAAGACGAAGTTTGCAGGCGGGAGCGTCTTTCCGCCGAGGAAAGGGAAGGGTTCCGCCCGGCGGGCGGGTGGGCTGCTTGGAGGAGGCGACCCGGCGGCTCTCCGGGCTTCCCCTCCACCGCGCTGTGCAAAGTTTAAGCCTGGAAGCCCCGGAAAGCCCAGCAACTTCCCAGCAACTTTCAGCTTCCTTTTAACTCACGGGCGCTCGCGCCTGCCCCCGAGCCGCGCGGCAGAGGGGAAGCCCGGTGGGTGGGCGGGCTGCTTGGAGGAGGCGACCCAGCAGCGATCCGGGTTTCCCTCCGCCGCGCGGCTCAGGGCCAGGCGTGAGCGCCCACGAGTTAAAAGGAAGCCGAAAGTTGTTGGGAAGTTGCTCGGGTGCTGGGAGCAGGCTTTTAAAGTGCCGCCCGAGCAGGACCGCCGAGCCAGGAAACGGGGCACCAAGGCAGGGCAAGGCTCTACCAGCAGCGGCCTAGCTTTAGGTGGCTCCAAGCAGCCCGCCCCGCCCGCCGGGTGGAACGCTTCCCGCTCCTCGGCGGGAAGACGCTCCAGCCTGCAAGCTTTGCCTTTGCAAAGTTTAAGCCTGGAAGCCCCGGAAAAAAAAGGGGGATCGGCGGGGACTCACCTTCGGAGAGGTCGCACTCGAAGGTGATTTTGAACTCCCAGCCGAGGCCTTTGCAAATTTCTTTTCTTTCCTACCCCTAGATCGCTCCGCACTGTTTTGCAGCTTTGGGAGCCACGCGGCACAGGGCAATACGCCACGCCCAGCGATTTTTTTTCAGGGGCGGGCCGGATTGGACAGACCAATGGCAGCTATTTTTTTTCAGGGGCGGGCCGCATTGGACAGACCAACGGGCCGGATGTGGCCCGCGGGCCGTAGTTTGCCCACCCCTGCTCTAGAGATTCTAGAAGCTATTACTAAAATAAAGCATGGCTTAAAACATCTTGTAAAGTCTGTTTCTAGGTCCTTCTCAAATCAGAGAGCTTCAGAAGAATTCAGATTGAAAGTTGGTCCCTTTCAGAGGAGTGCCACTTCAATCTGAATATCTCTTTGAATCCGCCTGATTTGATTCAGCATCAGGTTCAATACTATCTTCTCTGATTGGTGAAAACTGTCTACATTTCAGGAAGCAAATGGGTTTTTTTTTCATCGTCATCAACCCCTTTGGCTGGAAATGTATTTATTTATTCAATTTCTATAGCTACCCACCTCGATTCAATTGACTCTGGAATTGCCAAAAATAAATCTGGGATCCAGTGCGTATAAAGATAGGCTCCATCACTGTGATGATGCATTAATTCACAATTAATATATCTTTGTACATATTGGACTGGTTAATATAGGATATTTAACTACTCTACAGATGATCCCCAACTCCAAGAATTATTTGAATTCAAACATTGTTTGAATTGTTTGAATATAAACATGCTAATAGATTTTGCATCCAAGTCCAGAATCTAGAGAAATATTCCATTGCTCTAAAATTTTGATGCCAATAAAATCTTTTAAAAAACAAACTGAAAAAAATACAGGATGATTTATTTGAAACTGACTCTCTGCAAATGTGGACCTTGGATTTTGGAGCATTTAAGATTTCTTCTTGCTTATAAAATATTTTAATTAAACATTTTTCCGTTTTCCACAACATCTGTATTGTTAGGAACTGTCAGCTAGACATTTTCAGCCTCTTGATTCATTTCTTGGAATCATTTGGTGGCAGAAACTGCAGCTGCAACCAGCATCCCATAATAAACCCAACCTGTTAATCAGCAAAGCCATTGAATCAGATGTTATGAGCAAAACAAAATCATAGTTGATCCATTTGAACATCTGGAGTTGCATCAAAACAAATGTGTGTTCCAAGCTCACTTTCTTCCAGGACATTCATAACAATTTCCTTATTCAACTCCTAGAACCACAACTTCCTAGTTAATACACATCAAAAGGCTATTCTATCCAGTGTCCGTTTTTTTACAGTTTAAAACTCAAAAAGTATTTTGAGGCGTAGCAAACTATCTTCAGTTAATTATCTTCTGTAAAAAGTTTGCTCGGAAGGAAATGACATTCTTAATACTTTGTCCTGTCTGTGTTTAATTAAAAGTAAATATTAGACAATTTAAAGTTGCTTTGTTGTAAGCTGAACACGACCTGTATATGCACTGCGTGGAACATAGATACATCCTGTGGAAACATGGGACCTTACTTTAGCCATGCTTGACAAATCAAAGCTGATTGTCAGGAAAGATTTCAGTGTCCTGAACAATGTAATGTAATAGAGGAGACAATCCCTGCCTTTCTCCTGTTCCAGATATATTGGATTACAGCTTGCAGAAATTGGCATTATTTGAGTAAGAACAAACTTACACAAATCGCACTATTTTGTGTGATGATACAAACAATATAATTTCTGTCATTGGAGCAAAGGTGTAAGTCACAACAGATATGCTTGTCCCTTGAAGTGTCTATGACACTGAGGTACAGTAATCCATGGTTTCAATGTACTCGAGCGAATAATGTAGTTTGACTGCAAATTTTTGGAAAGCCAGTGGTGTTAAGTTACACAACGCATTTCTTAAGAGGAAAGAGCTAATACATCTCTCCTGTAATTTGCCATAAAGTAAAAGAGCAAAGTTGCACAAGAAGGAGACGGAAGCAGGAATATACTTCCAGGCCTGCCCTACTGTTAAGCAGAGTGAGGCAACTGACTTACTGTAGGTAGAAGATGCTAGAAGTGGTAGACATCTTTTCTCATTCTGCCTGAATACTTTAGCTTACCCTGCTGTGTGCCCCCAGCCAACCATGTAGTTCTATTACTAATGCTAGAATGAACTGACCCTGTGGTGCGGATGCATTTTTGCATATGAAATTACGATGAGGGTATTATCTGCCTCTATGCTTTGGACAGCAAGATTTGGAACCAGTTTGATCTTGTGGCTAAGGCACCAGACTAGAAAGCAAGAAACCATGAATTCATGACCCTCCTTAGCCAAGAAACACTTTGGGCCTGTCACTCTATCTTGGTCCAGTCCATCTCACAGAGTTAGTGTTGTGGGAAAATAGTAGGAAGGTGTGTTGGATATTTTACCACCTGGAGTTATTTGTATAATAATAAAGGCAAGATAGAAATAAAATAAATAAATAAAATGTCTTGGGCTTAGATCTGTGAAGACTCCTAGTTTCAAAGAAAAAGGAATGTTTGAGCTTCAGGCATTCAACCTAAAATCTATTCTGAGCCACTATTCTGTTCATAATCAGGCAGTTCACCTCATGCACTTGACAAGATACATTTTGAAAAGTTGATACCATCTTCTAGAATAACTATGATTTCCCAATTTATGTTCCTACCAAAAGAACCAGCAGATTCTATTTCTGAATCAGCATGAGGCTATTACAGGATTAAAGATTATAACA